GCTTTTAGGTTGGAGGCCATTGCTTCCAGGTTGGAGGCCATTGCTTCTATGGTTGGAGGCCATGGCTTCTATTGGTTGGAGGCCATCGCTTCTAGGTTGGAGGCCATTGCTGCTAGTTTGGAGGCCATTGCTTCTATTGGTTGGAGGCCACTGCTTCTATTGGTTGGAGGCCATTGCTTCTATTGGTTGGAGGCCATGGCTTCTAGGTTGGTGGCCGTCGCTTCTAGGTTGGAGCGAGGTCTCTTGCACTGCTCTTCAGAAGTCTTAGAGGGGATCTATACTCTCCTTCTAGATGCCCAACCTCAAAATTTGTCCAGAACCCACCCGGTTTAGAGGGGGTCACGGTCAAATTCCTGTGTTCCATCTAGTTGCAGCCTTTTCTGCAGCTGACACTTGAGGTGAGTCCAATGCTTTGCCACCAACCATTGTTGGGTCCCTTCAGTTTCTGTTCAACTGATTACCAACTTACTGGGAAGACTGCTGATTCGCAGAGATACTAGTGCACAGGAGAAGAAGAACAATTTCTGTTTGTGCTTGCAGCCCTCCCGATTCTGTGAAACCCAACAGTTGGTTTGCGTGTATTCTTTGAATGTTCAACTTATTGTCCATGTGTCATGTGTTTTTGCAGCCTTGTAGGAGCGAAGGAACTATTGAATCATCATGTTTTCAGAAAGATGACTAGGGTATTCACGATGCTTAGGCGCAACTTCACTTTGATGTGAAACAACTGCGCTGAGATCCCCGTGAGAATGAGAGGTTAGAGGTTACGTACTTCAAGAGCTGCACCGAAAGTGTGCACTGGACTCGCCAACAGCACCGGGGTATACAGAGGCAAGAGCTGTCATGGGGGACTGCAGGGCCATTGCGGTCTGACCATTTGGACTATAGAAAGCTGAGCTCTTTTGAAAGCTAGATATGTGCCTCGTAAGACCTTCCAGAGAGAACATGGGAGAGGACCATGTGGTGGAGAGAATGGGGTTGGAACTGCCAAGTTTTGTTCTTACTAAAGTGTCTTCGCGATCCAAGTCAAATCAGTTTCCTTGTTGAAGTATAGGGCTTGCAAAAACATTTGAGTATTATATTTGAGATATTGAGATGTTCCGACATTTCCTGGTTGCTGTGCGAGTTCTGTCCATCCTTTGTTGAGCCTCCTTCATTGTGCTTGATTTGGTCATCTCAGGTAGTTGAGAGCACACTGGCGTGGAATGAACATGAACACAAGCTTCTTCGCAGTTTCTTTTTTGCAGTGGTAGTACCCACCAAGATGCTCCCAGCTTTAGAAAGTGAACGCATGACGTTGACACATATTCAGAACCACCGGGAACATACAACTCAAATCCTACATTTCATAGTCAACTGATACAGAATTAGGGAAAAGAGGAGCAAAATACAAAATGTTTGGCGGGTTGCTGTGGGTTTCCTCAAAATAAACCTATCCGTGAAACATTTCTTGTGCATTCTACTCCTGGTCACACTGCGAGACAGACCTATCTGTCACGGCCTCATGTTGAAGAAGGCTCAAAACATGTCAATCGTTTGGCAATCGTTGGGCCCTGGCGCCATTTTGCGCCATATTTTTTGGAGTCAGTATATATAGGAAGGACACTGTGAATCCCAGCCAGTTCGTATATCTGAACTGTTCGCAGATGTCTCCTTGTCTGATTCATTGCATGTTCTTTCTTTTCTGATCCATTTATCAAAGCTGAACAACTCGAAGCTGGCAAGGAGTTCAAGCAAATAGTGGGCCGGCAGGGAGGCATCAGCGGCATTGACATTTTGTGGTTTTGATTTTGAGCCAGGGCAAAAGACCTTGGCGGATCGTCACGGAGCGTCATCTCGAGGAAAATCGGGGTGGCCTTTTTGGATCGTTCATGGTCGCGTCGTGACATGTCATGTGTCGTGATCGTTTTGGGAAGCAAGACGATCGTGTGGGCCCTGTGCGGCTGCGTGGTCCAGAGCATGGAATTTGGATTCATCTCTTCAAGACGATCATTTCAACTGAGTTGGACACCCAGCTAGGAAGTTCTTATATGGTGGTCGCATGAAACTAGCAGCCACTTAGCGCGATGGCCATGTGTGAATTAGGCGTTTGCAGCCTTTAAGCTCGGCAGACTTCATTGCAAGCTGATCCTTGTGAGTGAAGGAGTGTGCACAGGATGCGGGACACGATTTTGTTGCTGCTGTGTGGACGGGCGCCTGCAGATGTTCCTGGACAAGACCAGTTGTGCGAACCGCTGGAGGTTGGGTTGCATTGCGTTGAAAACATTGCTTTGTGAATGTTCGCGCTTTGGAAAGACAACCACAGACGGAGATTCATTTTTCCTCCCCTATTTGGACTCCCACTGGGTGCTTTTCTGTTTGATTCCTTTTTTTGCGAAGTGACCGCTTCGATTATTCGACATAGCATGCTGCTCCATGAGAAAGAGCTTGGTTTTCTCATCATGCAGGACCTATCAGTCCTGATGCAGCTGAGCGTGAAGAATGGCTTTGCCGCGCCTAAGGCCTATGACTAGTCTTGGAAGTATGGAGAGACGCTAATGATTTACACCCCTTTCGATTGGCCGTTCCGATCTCAAGATCATCGAGGGATAAGTTAGGTCATGGAACTCCTGATCCTGACCGGAGTTTTGGTTGCAGAGATCGGAGTTGGCCTTTCGTTTGCTGGCAGAGAGTCTGCCCCCGTTGTGTGCCACTGTGAGTGTTCGAGCGAGAAGACATCTTCTGCTGCAGGTGGCAGTTCGATCAGGGATATTCTCCTGAGCTGGGCTTTTTGTTGGCACGGCTGTGGTGGCAGGCTGAAGGCAATCCAGTATCCCCGAAGGGTAAGGGCAAGCGAGGGGTCTACGGCACCGGAATTCCTTTGCAAATCACAGGACGAGTGAAGGAGATATATGGTTCATAGACTACGGAGAAGGACCACCTCAAGTATGGCATAGTCGTCTCCTAGCCGCCCACATTGTCAATTCATTGTGGGTGATTATAACACCAGACCATGACATATACGAAGAGCAGCTCGACAATTCGAATCCGGATGTTGTGCAAGTCGTGCAGGGCGGCGGGGGGCTAGGAGCTGCTGTTCCTGCGGCGGTCAACCCTGCTAACATTTACGGTTTTCGGGCTATGACAGCACAACAGTATCAGCAACTCATGAACACCGCAAAGCAGTATGCAGCAGCATTGCGAGTTCAGATGGGTCTGCCACCCCCAGGCCTCCATCCGCCCCCAGGCGCCGCAGGACCAATTGCTCCGCAGGATCCACTGGTCTGGGTGGCAATGGAGGCCGATCATGGGAAGGTTGCAGGAGAGGTCATTTGTGATGTTGGTGTGCCATTGCCTGCGGGTGCAGTCACATTGGGAGGTTCCAAAGCATTGGTCCCGATCAATACAGGTGCTGTGTATGTTAAGCAAGTTCCCAAGAGCAAGATTGGTACAATGGATGTCAAAGACCTCAGGATTCTTCCACTCAGGTTTGATGAACAGGGTCAACGAAGGGAGGAGTTCAGCAAAGCAGTTGCTCGCATGAGCCAAGATGAGATGCCGGGAGGAGGCTTGATGTTAGATGGTCCTCCATCGGCATTGGCAGTCATGAAAGGCATTGTGGCTCGTGGTCTCACTCCAGTGACTGATCATGAGTATTGGGTTCGCACAAATGAGGCATTGAAAGGCGACAGATCTTTGTATGAGATGGAGGTCATTACTCGTGCTTTGGAGGCCTTCGCAACCCAAGACCAGATCAACGTCCCGAACAGTCGTGGATGTGAACTTTTGATGCGTCGCTGGCAGTTGATCCGAGAGGCCCATAGATTGAACCCCAATTCGCCTGACTACTCGGCCAGTGACATTTTCATGGGTTGGGAGTACAGGCGTGGTGCTGGAGTTCATCAGGAGCTTGCCAAGTTTGTTGCCTCCGAGTTGAAGGACATGGCACAGATCTCCAAGGAGGCAAGAAAGGCGAGGGAGGAGGCTGCGCTCAAGAAGAACAAGGGCGGGGGCCGGGGTGCCCCTGCCGAGTCCAAGTAGCCCTCCGCTGCTCAGCTGATCGAGTTGAGGGCGCTATCGATCAGCTTTGTTTTTTCACAGTGCCCAGGTTTTGTTTCATCTTCGGTGACCTCCACATCATGAAGGACGCCACCTTGCATGTTGAGGAGCCTTTGTTGCGACAGCGGGATTTGCTGCCTCTGCCTCACTTCATTCCGGAGGTTGGCCCTGGAGACCATGGTCACCCCCGTAGAGCTGGGTTGTCTGAAGGTGCCTACAGGCGTCAGGTCAGACGTCACGAGAACGTTTGCCGGGCAAATGAGGCGATTAGTGCAATCAACAGCATGGCGGGCTTTTCTATTGCTAAGCAAGGAACTCCGTCAGAAGTGCAGAGCAAAGCAATGGGCAGCATCTTGAAGTCAATATGTGAGGCCCCAAGGCCGAATTCAACAACATCCATGCGTGAGGCCGTTCGTGAGCTTCTGCATTACCGTCCTTCCACAGCATATGTTGAGCAGGAAGAAACGGGGACTACAACCGTTAGGCCGTACCAGAGAGACCTAGTTTCGTTGCCAGAGCCTGGAGCCCTCATTCTGGACGCCATGGACTTGGTTGATGAAGTGGGTCGCGACATCCTTTCGGCCTTCCACGACACAATGTTGCGAGATGTGGAAAAGGATCCGCCTAAGAGGCTACCAGGGGATATAACTCCCTACATGGACGTGAAGCTGAAGGCATCCTCCACTTTGTACGAACAGTTCGTGCTAGATCTTTGGGATAGGAACATGCTGGAGTTTATTGACAGTGCAAAATGTGAGGTCACCCCCTTCTTTGTGATCAAAAAGTCTGGCAAACTCAGGATGGTTTTGGACTGTCGAGTGTCGAACGCTTTCTTTCAAGACCCTCCAGATATTGCCATGCCGGCCGGGTACTCGTTTTCCCAACTTGAAATTCCTGATGGTAAAAACATGTTTATTGCTCAGACTGATGTCAAGGACTATTTTTATTCCATTGGGATGCCTAGAGAGTTGAGGCCCTTTTTTGCCTTGCCAGCAGTGGACCTACGTCGAGTGATTCCTAACCATCCCCTATGTGGACAGAGACATGAGAGTGTTTTGATGCTGCACCCTGCAATGAAGGTGGTGCCCATGGGCTGGAACTGGGCAATGTTCATCGCTCAGCGTGTTCATCAACATCAGAGCATGCTTGCCGCTGGACTTACAATGGACAGGATACTGGTTGATGGTCGCCCCAGTCCTTCGATTGCAGATGATGTTGCCATTATTCCCTATGCCGATAACCTCAACATTGTTGGGTGTGACCAGCACAAGGTTCAGGCAACAAAGCAGATCATTGTTAGGCACATGGAATCACTTGGCTTCAGGATCCATGAAGAACAAGAAGCGTTGGACCAGGCTGAATCACTGGGTTTCTTCATTGATGGTCGGGTTGGGAGAGTTTATCCAAAGCCAAACAAACTACAGAAGGTTCGCAAGGTTTTGAATTGGTTGGCCCAGCGTCCTCGCGTCTCAGGCAAGATGTTGGAGCGCATCATTGGACACTGCATTCATTTTTGCATGTTGAGAAGGGAGCTTTTGTCGGTGTTTCGTGCAGTTTATGATTTCAAGATCATTGCATATAACAACAGGCAGAGACTATGGAAGACAGCAGCATTGGAATGTAAGTGCATGGCCTCGCTACTTGATCTCTGTTTTGCGGATCTCAGACGTCCGTGGTGTCAGGAGGTGACAGCAAGCGATGCAAGCCTCACTGGAACCGCGGTGTGTTCAACTCATTGGGGTCCTGCGGACACACATCAGGTGGGGAGACAGAGGGAGTTATGGAGATACAGGGCGATCGGCGGTGCTGGGAGAGCCAGGGACCATGTTCAAGCTTTGGACCCTTTCACTGACCATGAAACGGTGTTACCTGTTAGCCCAATACCTTCAACTTCCCAACCTCTGGACAGCTTTCAGTTGAATCTGGACTTCAAAGAGGTTCCCTCCACTTTGCTGCGAGTTGAGGACTGGACAATAGACTTCTCAGCCCGAATGACCATGCCAGAACATATCACGTTGCTTGAAGGTCGAGGGGTGGTACAGGCCCTCCGGCACAAAGCCCGGGGGTCGGGCAACTTTGGACAGCGACACATCCACTTGAATGATAACCTTGGAATGACACTTGCTTTTGATAGAGGTAGGGCTAAAAACAAGGCTTTGCTTTTTCAATGTCGTCGAAGTGCAGCTCTTGCCATTGCCACACACTGTGAGTTTCATTTTAGGTGGATTCCATCAGAGTTGAATGTTGCAGATAAACCATCCCGTATTTTTGAGCCGCCTCGCCATGCCTCCAAACGGAGCACGCAAAGGGCCATACAAGAGGCCATCGACCCAGGCTCAAAGATCAAGACCGACAAGACCAGGAACCAAACAGGACTCCGTGGTCAATCGTTTGAAGAAAGCTGTGCATCCATATGTGGGGTTGTCCAAAATCCCCACTCCGGCAGAAGTTCGGCGGAGAATTGCAGATCGAACGGAAGAGGGTCGCAGTGCAAAACGTCAGAAACTGGTAGAAGAGCAGTCAAGGCCTCGGCTTCCAGGACAGACCTTTCTGGAGCAGTCAGCAATTTCTCCCAAGACAGCCGCAGACTATCAGATGAGGGTTGCGGTGTTTCGAAAGTTTTGCCAGTTACACAGCATTTCAACAACCGGAACAAAGAACCTGGATGCTTGTTTGACAACCTTCTTTCAGCAGTGTTTCAACGATGGCATGGAATTTGCAGAGGGTTCAAAGTTTTTGGCAGCAGTCATAGACAGTTGGCCCGAAGCAGTTGCAAGGGACAAACTACCGAGGGCTCGCAGGTCGTTGAAAGGCTGGAAGAACCTCGATCCGGGAAGAAGTCGTCCGCCAATTCCCTTTCCACTGGTGGCGTTGATAGCAATGAACATGCTAGAGGCCGGAAGTGTGGCCAGTGCAATGTTGGTGCTGACCATGTTTGTGGCCTATTCAAGGCCAACAGAGACCCTTCGGCTACAAAGGAAGGATCTTGTTTTGTCAACATCGTTGGGTGCGACGTGCATGCTCGTCCTCAACAGAGACGAGGACTTCGAGACTTCCAAGATGGGGGTGGCAGACGAGAACCTCAGCATAGACTCCAAGGCAGTACCGTGGCTAGCGAAAGCACTGGCCATGTTGAGCAAAAACCTCCTTCCAACACAAAAGCTGTTTCAAGTCGAGTACAACAGTTTTCTGGAAGATTGGAAGCAAGCCCTTCAGAAGTGCAACCTGCCGAGAGGACACTCCACTCCTTACCAGCTGCGCCACGCCGGCGTCAGTTGGGACCGCTTCAAAGGCTACAGAACACAGCTGGAGGCAAAGATGAGAGGTCGTTGGCAGTCAGACAGTTCGATGAGCCGATACGAGAAGAAAGCATTGGTGTCAACCGCCTTCGACTCACTCCCTCAGCAGGTTCAAAAGCTCTGCAATGCAGCGGTGCAGACGCTGCCCAGCAGGGCCCTCAGCATTCTGGGCCGATAAAAGGTTGCCATGGGTATGCTCTTGAGTTGTTTGCTGGTTCAGCCCGACTTTCCAAAGCATTGTCTAAGTTGAACTGGCACGTTGAGGCTTGGGATATCAACTTTTCTTCAGCATGTGATTTGAGCAAGGTAAGCATTGTCAACAATTTGATCGATCGAATCAAGTCGGGAGCAATTCATTTTGTGCATTTTGGTTTACCTTGCAACACATGGTCACGTGCCCGTCGAAACGATGGTCGAGGCCCAGGCCCTTTACGTGATGATGCAGCTTTTCTTATGGGTTTCCCACACTTGTCAGCTGTGGACCTCCATAAGGTCAAACTTGGAAACGTTTTGCTGCTCCACACCGTCCGGCTGATCCGGGCTTGTCAACAGGCCCAAGTTTGTTGGACGCTGGAAAACCCTAAAACTAGCAGAGTTTGGTTGACAAGACAGCTACGACGCTTGAAAAACTGCCACTTTACACATGTGGATTTTTGTCAATACAATTTGCCGCGGCGCAAGTCAACCCGTTTCCTTTGTTGTGACCAGCTGAACTTTACACTTCGATGTTGTTCAGGACCTCGAGGTATTTGTTCTCGCACTCGGGCTCCACACCTGGTCCTAGCGGGCACCCACAATGGACAGTTTTTGACAAAACTTGCAGAGCCATACCCATGGGCAATGGTACGTACAATTGCAACAGCAATTCACAAGCAGACTCGCAAGAGTTCGGGGTGAGAGTTGATGACGGTGGCACTTGACTACTTCGTTGCATGTGGCCGGTGTCCTTTTTCGTTCGTGGCAAGCGCCACCCGTCCTGACCTCGCTCTTAGCAAAAAGAGCGTTTCTGCTGGCTGAGTTGGGGAACAGGATCATATATATATAGCCTAGATAAGTTTGATTGTCGCCGGCATTTGCCGGCTGTCTTCCTTGAATTATATTGCACGCAATACGAACAACCCAGAGACTTGTCAAGAGAAAGCAGGAACTCCACGACCACACTCGAGGTCGCATGGATGAAGAGTGTTGGCCGTGGCATCACCGGCAGTTGCACTTTCAATGTGCCAACCCCTTTGGAATCGCACAGTCCCCATCCAATTTTAATTGTGATGGCGACCATGGTTGCATTTGCGACTTGGCTGCACTGTAGGTGTTGCATCAAACACGGGAGTGTTTTTTTTCGCGGTTTGTGGGATCGTTCTGGGGCGACTTTAAAAGGAAGATGCTCCCGGCTGTTTCTGGGACGCCTTGCAAGCTCAACCCCAAAAACATGCGATTTCTATCACCAAATGACCTGCAAATGAGCCACGTCAAAAACCTCCATGAAGAGTTTTTGTAATATAATGCAGTTGTCCTGACATAACCCCCGCGAAAGGTAAAACCTAAGTCGCGAAAGCTTCGAGAAAGCTGTTGCGAAAGACACCATGAAAAAATGGTTGCGAAAGGAGTATGCGAAAGGACGTTTTGGATGATATGTAGGATTTGTTTCCAGTGCTAGCTGTTTTTCTTTACGCTGCTTTGATGCAACTTCGCCATTGCCACCATGAGAGCTTTGCGTATACACAAGGACGTTTCTAGCCCCAAACTGAACGGTTTTTTTCTGTATTGCACCAGTGCCCATGGTGGGCGAGTCAGATAGCAAGCAAGGAATTCTCACAATAAAATACAATAAACAGAAACCTAGAAACCGTGTTTTGACCACGGGTTTCTCGAAGTCGAAGGTTTTCGACACGGCTCAAATGGGAAGAGCTCCCCCAAACCACGGACCTCGATGAACCTTGCATTACGCCGCCACCCAACGCACGGATCCTTGGAAACAGCAGCCACCACGGCAGCCACTATGCTACAGCTCCCGACAATACGACAACGGCACCAGGCACGACTACAAAGAAGCCGTACAACTACAGGTGGGGAATGTATGTTTTGTCGTTTCTGGTGCGTTGTGCGCTGCGCAGGCCTTTCTGCATTTTTCACCATCACAAGACGAATGTCTTCTTTTTCTTTTGTGTTGTAATTCGCTGATTTGGGGCAACAACATGCAACAACCTTTGTCAAGTGATTATCATTGGACACTACAGGTGCCCGTGGTTGAAGGTACGATGTACTCAATGCCAATATGCATATACCTGGATCTTCACACGTTTACAAACGCCGTTTGGACGCCTAAAGAGTCCGTTAGGACGCCAAAAGACACGGTTTGATTTTGTGTGTGTTTCCAGTTTCCGCCTCGTCACAACAAAAAACACCCTCATGCAAAAAAAGACAGCGTGTTCTGGAAAAAGTGATTATGATTTATGCCGTTTCGAAGATCCACGTATGGGTAAGTCATGGGTTTGTGATCGACACTCCAAAAGTATTGACATATCTGGTTCGGAAGTGCTAGCTTGGCCTTTTTTTTTTGGCCATGGAAACCGCATTTCTGGCCATACCGTATAGCATCCAAAGTATGCCCAACTGAGTATGGGTGCATTTGTCCAAGTGGGCGTGTATTTAAGTAGGGAGACCTCTCAAAAAGCCCTGGAAAACAACAATAGATCAGGCTGTCTCCCCATTAAAACACAGCCAAGTAGTGTTGGATACTCCAGGCTGCAGGTTGATCTTTGAGTTCATCTTCACCGCATGCGCCCGCTCCGCCAGGAAAAACACCACCGCATGCCAGCCGTCATCGACGTCCACGGGCGGCCGAACTATAAGCACTCGATCTTCGGAGGACTCCAAGGATTCTCATGATTTGCGCATGAAATTCCAACAGAGGTTAAGTGACCTTATAGGACCCTACCAGGTTACGCTATGGGATAGTCTATGGTTGATGCACTGGGGGGGGGGCCACTTGACGGAGGCGACGTACTGTCCAGAGGAGCGGGCTCCTTCCGTCGTCTTCGGCTCGTCCCGTGTGGGTCCGTGTCTTCAGCGCTGCGGGTCCAGCGCTGTTCCGTTTGATCTTTGCGCGCTTTTTCAAGTGGCCGCCTCACTTTCTAGTATCTTTAGTCGTTGTCAAGATGATTCAAGATGCGGACTTTCTTGAAAACTCTATATTCGGCCTCCAGTCTTGATTTGCGCATGTAATCCTGAACCTGTTGTTTGACGCTTTGGTACATTTCCAAAGGCAGAGGCTGTTTGGCCTGATTCCAGATTGGATTGGCTGCCATGACATGCTGTTTCCGGGCTTCCTCAAACGCCCAAGATATGGGTGCATATGTTGTTATGATGATATGAGAAAGGGCTGAGGTTCCTTTTCATTAGAAGTTTCGCAATCCGTGCACGCGATATTTGTATTGACCGTATAAACAAATATGAACAAACCACCCATCCAAGCATCTTGTATACAGGTAAATATTCCAGTCCCATGGATTGTTTCTAGATAGCTGGCTTCGCCTGGCAGGAGACATCATGACTTGGAGGCCGCAACTGCTCATAAGTGCTCCTGGGATGGATGTATGAGGGATGAAAGAGATGAAAGAAAGGCCATGTGGGAATTCTGGTCGCAAAGGGGGTAGATTCATAATTTGAAGTACATTGTTCAAGCTCGCATTTGTGTGGGTTGATTGAGTCATTGAGAAAAGGATGTTTTCGTTGTGTTTCTCCAAGGAGTATGGCCGGTAGCACCTTTGAGCTGCTTCGGATTTCAAATTCCCCTCTGTTTGTGTGCGTGTGCGCATCGAGATATCAGGATATCTCACATGCTGCCTCAAGCTTTTGAGTGGACAAGCAGCCCTCCTGCACCGCGTTTGACAGGTTCCAAAGGGGATAACCGCTTCTGGACAGCCCAATCTCCAAAATCGTCATTTTCCAGAGTCAATGCTAGTGTGCAGGAGGACACGTCAAATCCTATGCTCCGTGTTTCTGTCGTTGCGGCCAATGGGCAGCTCTTGAGTTTACATTTTTAAGTGAGCCACATACTTGGGCATCCAACACTATGGGCAATGCCTGTGAATTTTTAGTCAATTGAAATGAAGATTTCTCCGTCTCCCATTTCCCCAGCGGTGGGTGGCAAAGAACAACAGCAATTTCTGCTGGTCCCGTAGGCCCTCTGTTGGCGCGCATGCATTGAATGTTCTCACTTATTGTCCGTTTGTTGTGTGTTTTGGCAGCTTTGTAGGAGCGAAAGGGCTACAGTCGAAACAGCATGGTACATTTACAAAGCTGACGTGCGGCGGCCCAAGAGACACACAATCAGGTTCCGTTGTTTCCATCAAAACTCCACTTGGAAGTGCTGGAAACGACGGAATGCGACGCGTCCTTGTTGTCCAATCAAAGGGTTCGGGGACGGAATGCTGGGTGGGCAGTGTGGCCCATTACCTTTTTACTTAGCGGCCGCTTGTCGGAAATTTGGGCAGTTTGCCAGCTTGTGGCAAACAAGTGACGCTCGTAGCAAATGTGTGGATGAAAAGGACTCCTGCGCTGCAGACTTGTGGCTGACTTGCTCAAGTCGACGAAGTCGAAGCATTCTGATTCGCCTCGGATCAGGTGCATGGAACCATTTTGTCAAACTGATGGCGCGTCAAAGACAGGTTTCTTTCAAACCATTGTAACGATGTGGATGACCTGCAAAACCATTTTTTGGGCGGCATGACCCCACTCAACAAGGAACAGATTGACAAAAAGGGTTAACCTTGCTTGATATTCCAGGAATTGAACTGGCTCGGGAGTTTGAGCAATGCCAATTCGCTGAGTGTTTTCAATAGGCTTGCTAGTCCGGGATCATTGGGAAGTTTTTTGAACACATTCAACCGATTTTATCCCGATTTGATGTTTCCCACTCCTTGGCATCATCTTTGTTTTTAGCATTCAACCTAACATGTTCAACCTATATATTCTTGCCCACTCCATTCTTGGCATCCCTACTACATGACCTGGTTGCCACCCCTTCAGCTCAGCGGCCCTTCCGAGGTTGTGACTGCGGGGTGTGGGATTTTCAAGTGAAGCCGGAGAACTACAGCACCTGGGCCGCATCGAGAAAAAACAGAGAAACATAGTATTCCCAGACACTCCATGGGACTGCCATAGATGCCAATCAATTGACCCCCAAAAACATTCCAATTGATCGGCAGTCCTATGGCAGTCCCATAGAGTGTCTGGGATTGACAGCTCAGGACCGTCAGTTCCAGTGACCGTCCAAATGAGATTATATATAGGGCTACGCCCACACTGGCCAAGCTTGTTTGATGGTGGGAAGTCGGACAAAAAGCTGCAGTTCATTCAAAACTTCGTCCAAGCCGTCCAAGTTCCAGGAAGGATCACGGAGTCATATATTCCCAAGTTCTTGAGTATTCCAGGGGCCGGTAAGGAGAAGATGCACAGATACCAGGCCAACTGCGACTTTTGCAACAGTCCACGAGCCCTGACCAGGTCATGAAGTTTCCTATAGCTCGATTCCTCTACCCCGGGATCACCTCCAGGTCACCGGGGACACCATCCATTGCCTGAATTCCAGCATCTATTGGATGTAAATTTGGTGGATATGATATGAGTCAAGACTAGGCACCCAACCACGAACCCCGTGGTGACACCAGCAGTTCGTCCATTTTTGGACCAACGTTTTTGAGATCAAGCAGAGTAACCAGAAGTTCTAGTCCCTAAAATTCTCCAGAAAAGACGTGCTTGGAATAGACCGACCAACAGACTAACTGCTCGCTTCGTCCGCGCGTGGACTCTTCAGGCAGCGCGTACGGCTATGCGCAGGAAGCTCACTGGGCCGCGTTTGGAGAGCCCAGCTAAAGGGAATCAAAAACGATTAGACCAGCACCTTAAAGGGGGTCACCAATGGAAGCAACACTACTAAGGGACCTCCAGTGGACACCCCTTGAAGGTCCAGGGATTTATGGGTGGATCCAGTGGGTAGGACAAACTTCTGCCAAACTTCTGGCCAAAGATTGGCCTTGGAAGGTGGACCCTGCTGGCTCGGCTGCTAAGCTGGATGATAAAGCCGTATGTCGGCTACCCTGCGCGGTCTTCCAATGATCCTCCGAACTGGGAGTTTGCGCGTGCATTTCAATGCATGCCTAATACGGCTCACTTGCACTGTGTAACGAATAGAGAGGCACAGCTCAGGATCAAACAGGAGCGGATGTGTGTGTGTGTGTTTAATGTTTAGCTGGTTTCAACCCATCATTGCACCCGTCGAGATTGTTGTTTTTCTTGGTTGTTTTATGTTTCCTGACTGATAGCTGGTTGAAGAAGATGTGTGTGTGTGTGTTTCCTTGGTGGATGGATCACAAAATGTCATAATGATGAAATCTGGCACTGACATTCTTTTTGCACCACCTCGTGGAATTCATCCTCAGGCATTGAACCATATCACCTAGGACAGCCCGGGCTTTTTGTGATGCCAAAGGTGTCCATCATTGGCATGGATTTCTCTCAAGTGAATTTGGATTGTGAAAGGGGCCGCTCTGGGGGTGGTTTTGAGGGAAGGTCTTCAACTTGAGCTCCGGAGCCCTCAGATGTTCCATGATGTTCCAATCCAATACTCAAAGTGACGAAGACTATAGACAATGTAGACTCTAGACTGAACATCTTAATTATATTTAAATATAATGCTTAAGGTGACATAGGGTGACCAGTGAAGAATTGAACAAGTACTGAAAACTACGTCACAAAGCTTCTGTCCTACTTCAAGTAGGACAAACTACTCCTTGGCTCGCAAAGTCATACAATGCCACAACGAATGATCCAAGGCCACAACGTACCTTTGAAAACCGAAACAGATCGCCCCTTGATCTAAGTCCCCGGGTGAGTTTCCCACCCCCCTTCGCTCCCGCATGATCCGACGCCGTTTTCGCTCACTCCGAAAGGAAAAGCCATCAACACACACATTCCACTCCACTCCACTCCACTCCACATACCATACAGTATAGCCTCTCTCGCTGTGCCGAGGCCCAGTCATGGCACCTGCGCCGCGGCGAGCCTGTCCCGTCGCCACTGCTCCGCCGAGCAGCTGCGTCCCGACGCCCGCTACGCCGCCCGCCACCGCGTGGCCTGCGGTCTGCGGGCCGAGCGAGGCGCGTCGGTGGTGTGGCCTGTTGGTCGGTCTGGAAGAGGAGGTTTGCTGCCTTGGTGTTTGGGAAAAGCGGAGGTTTGCAGGTCACCTGGCTTTTTTTTCTTTGGGAGGAGTGAGGTCACCTTCCCACCAAACATGCTGAGTTTGCTGCAGAGGTGTAAAAAAGATTGACATGTTGTGGCAAGCTGAGGGAGTTAGACGAGATTTGTAGCCCGAGCGATTGTGAGATTGATCTATCATTTGATCTCGGATGTTCAACTCATCTCAATGCACTGACGGTGAGGACGGTGTTTTGTGCTTAAGCCGCGCGTCCTTCGTGAGCCCTCTCAGCGTAAAGAGTCGAGCATTCATGACACAACATAGCTGGCAGGACTCTGAAGCGACCATATGCGACCAGTTTATGCACGCAATCCCACAACCCCTGGCATCCATTAACAACCTCAGTTCTTTCAAGGTGCAGATAAGAGCAGTCCTATACATGGACACATCAATGAAGCTCGTCAGTCACTGCCTCTTCACCTTGAGCATGAACCCTGTGTGCAGAAAGCACTCTTGACATCAACCTGGAATACGAGATGATATGATTATATAAGATAAGAGATCAAGAGTATACTCTTGATCATCCTGGTTTTCCTTAAGGTGTTGTTAGTGTTCCCGGCGTCCAAAACTACCAGCAAATCCAAGCCCTGCACGGACCAGGAAGCAACTACTCCTATGCGAGCTTTGTGACTGCCCCGGCCTGCAAGTGGGTTTCCGACTCTGGTTATGTGTCTTGGCCGCATCGGCCGCCGTGCGGCATGCCAAGTGCTGCTCCATCGTAGGTTCGCTGGGGCTAGCCCGGCCAAGACAAGCTAGGTAAAGACCGTAAAGACGAACTAGGTATTCTTTGACCATTCCAACCCCACCCTGTTCCTCTAAAAGGTGCCAGTAGATTGTTACATGAAAAATTCACCAAAGCCCCAGCTCCACCGGCCAAAAAGAAGTCAGAAACACCTCAAAACTCCACCGTTGGTGGCTCCCGTCCTCAGGCCGAGCTCTACGAGTGTTTGGATGGCCACTTGTGCAATGCCACGATGTCCAGCTGCTGCAACGCCCATGGCGGCCGTGCCCGGTGCCCGGCCGACCGGCCGGTGATGTGCCGGGCGCCCCGGTACCCACAGGGCTCTGGGTCGCTTCTCCCGAGCCATGGTCCTGTGGTTTTGACTTCAGAATGTGGATCCATGCGGATCCCTTCGGATTGGAGATTAGAGGGATTTAATTGGGTAGTATATGATCTCAAACTCTTGATTTCAGAATCCAAAGGAGTGATGACAGGGTCAACGAAGGGAGGCACCTGGGCTGATCAAGGCACCAGCACCTTTTGGCTTTGCAATGTTAACCTATCCATATGATATGCTGTACATGGATTGAATCAAGATTAACCCTCATAATTGATGTGGTTCAAGTACATGCGGCACGAAAAAAAAATGGGTTTTGTGTTTGTCATGTGGAAAGCGTGAAAGTTTTGCCAGATCCCAAGGTTTGAACCTGTAAGAGTCTTCGTTGCAGGAGCTGTTTGTGTTTGGTTTTCTTGATAGATGGAATACAGTCGAAAGTTAGAGCCACGCCCAGCACACACGGACTTTTTCCATATTGAACCCAATACCCAATTTGGGGCATGGCTGTGGTCGGTCAGTAGCTCGCCCACCATGCCATGTGTGGGCTGGTTTTTGGTGACCTTCGCGTGGTCCCAA